ATAACATTATATTACTTTCAGGTATATAACATAATAATTTGATATTTGTATATATTGTGAAATGATCACCACAATAAGTCTGGTTAATATCCATCACCACAGATAGTTGCATATTTTTTTCTTATGATGAGAATTTTTAAAATATGCCCTCTTGGCAACTTTCAAATAATATAGTATGGTACCTATCATCACCACGCTGTACATTACATCCCCATGACTTATTTCTTTTATAACTGGAAGTTTGTACCTTTTGACCACCTTCACCCATTTCACCCACCCCCAACCCCCTGCCCTCTGGCAACCACCAGCCTGTTCTTCGAATCTGTGAGTTTGTTGTTTTGTTTATTTGTTTGTTTTAGATTCTACATATAATTGAGGTCATGCAGTAATTTGTCTTTCTCTTTCTGACTTACCTCACTCAGCATGATCCCCTCAAGGTCCATCCAGGTTGTCACAAATGGCAGGGTTTGGACCATGCAGGTTATCTGTTTGATCTTTGGTGAGTTTTAGTGGTTTGCGGTTTTAGAGGAAATTCTCCATTTTGTTCTAAGTTCTTGAATTATGTGCATAGAAATATTCATAGTATATCCTTATTATCCTTTTAATTCCTGAGGGACTGTAGTGATATCCCTTCTTTCCTTCCTGATATTGATAACTTTTGCATTCTCTCTTTTTATGCATGTCATTCTGCCTAGTGGTTTCTCAATTATATTGCCTTTTTCAAAGGCAAGCTTTTGGTTTCATTGATTTTTCTCTATTGTTTTCATTTTTACTTTCATTGATTTCTGCTCTTTATTATTTCATTCTTTCTGCTTGCTTTGGGTTTATTTTGCTCTTCTTTTTTTTGGATTCTTAAGGTGGAATCTTGGGTTACTGCTTTGAGACCATACTTCTTTCCTAGTATAAGAATTTCACGTTATAAGCATCTCACCCATTTGGGCATATCGTATTTTAATTTTTGTCCAGTTCAAAATATTTTATAATTTCCTTTGAGAATTTCGTTCTATGAATTTTCCTTTCCAGGCACTCAGAGAACTTTATCTGTTCCATGTCTTTTGATTCTTGGTTATAAATCAAGTGCTAAATTCAAATATGTCATCTGATGAGGGTTTTTTAATAGCTTCATTTGTCATTGTGAATAATAATGTGATATTCATTTACCTTGCTTTATTAAGGATTATAATAGCTATCATGTATTGAGTGCTTACTATGTCCTAGGCACTATGTTGATCACTTTACATGGTCTTACCTCATTAAATTCTCTCAACAACTCTTTTAGTTGGTACTGTTATTAGCCCCATTTTACTACTGAGGAGACAGAATCACATATTTTTTTCTTTATTTTTGAAAATTGTATTATTTATTTATTTATTTGGCCATGCCGTGGGGCATGCAGGATCTTAATTCCCTGACCAGGGATCGAACCCATGCCCCCTGCAGTGGAAGCGCAGTCTTAACCACTGGACCACCAGGGAAGTCTCTGAATCACATATTTTAAGTGATTTGTCCAGAGTCAACTCAGCCAGTAAGTGGTAGAGCTGGGATTTGAATGTAGGTTTGATTCCAAACCAAGTTCTTAACCATTATACTACATTTCCTCTAGTTATTTTATTTCTTGGCTTCTCAATACGATTGTCAGCTTCTTGAAGGCAAATACTAGGTCTTAATTATATTGATCTCCTTTTCTCTATAGCACCAGGAACGATATTAGACACACACTAATGGACTAATGTGTATGGACTAAATTTAATGAAATTAACTGACCTGAAAGAGAATCAAACCCATAACACTTGCCATATTGCCCCAGGTTGTTACCAACTAAGGTAACTTAGTACAGTATCCTACACAGAAACAAAAAAAAGCTGACAGAATATTTGTGACAGTGGTAACGGCCAAGTGTTCTGGCCGGCAAGAAGACGATTTATAAGTGTGACTAAACTGACCTGGAGTCCATCTCCAAGCTCTACTCTTTGGTTCTGGCCTTCAGTCTGTCCTTTTGCTCTCTCTCGATCTCCTTCTCACACTTCGAATTTTTAAAACAGTTCGACTATCCTCCATGGTTCATGATCCCTCTCGTCTTTTAATATGAGACTTTTAGGTGAGCTCTTCACCATTTATTTAAGAAACATGTATCTGAGTCTTACTGTATGCCATGTACTTTTTAAAGCACTTTATACATATCAACTCCTTATAATAATTCTGTGAGTTGGTACTGTTATTATTCCCATTGTACAGATGAGGGAACTCTCACTGGATTTTCTAGTGGTTCATTTTCTATTTCCAATACCCAATAGAAATCTGAGTGGCAGGATGGAGGTGGTATAAAGCAAAAGCAAAAGCCTTTGCCTCTGATGTAGTCAGTCATTTACCTGTTGGGCTGTGTCCTGGGTCTTTAGAGGGCAGTGAAGCTGTGTAATTGGGGCAGTTTTGCAACAGAACTTGTAATAGGGGTTCCGTCGCTCTTAGGCATGACCTTCCCTGCCCCATGGGCATCCCAGAGCCTTTTTTCCTACCTGGTCTGTTGTCTCACACACACACACACACACACACACACACACGCACGCACACGCACACACATGCACGCACGCAACATGTGTAATGTTCATATCATGGATTTGAAGTGCACGGTACAGCAGCAAAAACACGGTCTTGAAACTTGGTGAGTGTGACTTCTCCCTCTGCCACTTATTTATTATCTGTTTGATCTTGGGCAAGTCATTTAATCACTTAGTACTTTGGTTTTCTCAGCTGTGAAATTGAAAATGATACTGATTATAATAAAAACTGTGAGGATTAAATGAGATGATGCATTTGAATACTTAGTCCAGTGATTGGCACATGAAAGTGCTCAATATATGTTAGATATTTTTTATAATTAGTGATATGCAAGACCCTTTTATATATTAAGTATAATTCACCCTTTGGCCTGTATGTAGCTTGTGGAACTGAATTTTGAGGACCCAGAACAAGGCTTGTCTTTATCTAGGAATTTATTGGTTATTTTGAATCTTGATGTTGGCTTTTATCTTGTTTATCTCTGGCCTTCCATGGGCCTTTGGGATCAGTTCCATTATCCTCAAGATTTAACTTTTGTTGCCCAAATATCTACTTGGCCTTGTGTAAATGTCAGCATTCTTTTAAGGTCAGTGGCAAAGCCTGGCACTAGGGTTCAGCTTTACCTCGACTATCAGTGAGATGTTTCCTCTCCCAGGGCGAGTGTTTCTGCTGTGGCTGTCACTTAGGAGGGTCCAGGGGGCAGAGTTAGGCCACACGTTACTTCACCCCAGCCCTGGAACCGCTGTTAATGAGCCCTGCTCCAGGCATTGAGGCTCGAGCCAGAGTTTTCAACAGTCAGTTTCTGAGAGCATGGGGTGCCCCCTAGAAGGATGCTGTTGTAAAAGCATGGTAGTCTGGGCAACCCGGGGAGGGACATTGCATTGATGTGCCTCCAAGGAGGTGGTAAGAGAGACCCCTGTAACCAAAAGGAAAGAAAATGGAGCATCTGTGACTCTCTACCTGAGGTCATATTTGCAATGGAGGAAGGGAGTCAGGCTCTGATACAAGACAGTGAGAGGGGTCTGGAGTCAGATAAACCTGGGTTTGCATTGTGGCTCTACTGTCCTCTGTGTGACATTGACAAAGTCACTTCACTTTTCTGAGCCTGGTTTCCTCATCCGCAAAATGCAAACACTAATTGTACCCATCTCACAAGATTGCTGTAAAAATTCGGCGAGAGAGTTTACTTAAAGCAGTTAATTTGATACTTGCCTGGAATATGTTAAGTGCACATCATCACCATCATCGCAGCACTGGTAACAACAAGCAGCAGAAAGAAACAAACAGCAGCCTTGGGGCTTGTGTGCTGTTCCCTTGGGGCTCCTTATAACATTTCTGTTAGTCTTAGGCACACGTCCGTGAGCGCCAAGAGAAGAGCTTAAGTTCTTCTAGGTCCCAGTCAGGGCATAACAGAGATCCTGGTATCACGAGGCTGCTGTGAGTGTGGGTGTGAGAGAGCGCGAGAGTGAGCTTGAGGTCCAGAAGCCACGTTGACTCAGCGATGGTTGTACGTGACCCGTCAAATTAGCTTTTCTCCAGGAGGAACAGACTGTCATTCTTTGCTTCTCCCTCAGTAGTAAAGGACCACTTGCCTGGATGAAGGGAGCTGCTTAAATCCATCCCCACAGCTCACACAAGCAGAATTTGTTCCTGACTTGCTTGTTCGTGAGCAAATCAGGAACCCCCTTACAAAGGGCTCCTAGTGTGGGTTTTAACAAGTCTGGACTTGGGAAACGGTATCCCTACCCGATGCTGGAGACGCATGGTTTTCTTGTCTCTGTCTCTTTTTTCTTTTGTGTTTTGCTTTTAAATCACAGAACCCAGTATGTAAAATAGATGAAAGTTTGGAAGGCTGCCACTTCTGCCCTCCCCACCTCCCGCAGCAGCCCCTGAAGGTGTTTCTAAGAAGGTGGGAGAGCGCATTTGCAAACGCTGCAGTTGGCTCCCTGGGTTGTATTAGCTAGCCTTTTTATGCCCAGGTCTCTGTCTGGGGAGAAGCCTTGGGCATGGCTGTGGAAATAAGCAGCCTTGCTCTAAGAAACAGGTCTCTACTGTAATAACACACTAGTGTAATAACACCTGGCTCCCGCAGTTCCCCTTTGTAATGCTGCCTGAGCCTCAGCAGTTGGAGCTGAGATTGGGACTGACCGCATGTTTAGGGAGCCCAGAGCTCATTATGCAATGAAGTGTTGTAACCAAAGCGTGTTCACAAAGTGGTTGGGGGATTTTGAGGTGGCGGTGGTGCTCTTCAGAATATTTCAGTTAATGCAGAGTATGCTGCTTTTCATTTATTTATGCGTGTGTGCCAACTCCAGTGCCGTTTTACACAGAGAGCCACTTGTTTACATGCTCTCCCATCTGGCATGGCATAACCTGACACAGTTTTGTCTGCCTCTGCATCAGAGTCAGGGTGTGACCTGCACTTTATCTCTTTTCCTCTCCAGGCTACAGATGCACATGTTGAATGGAGCTCTTCTTGCCCTGCTGTTTCCTGTGGTAAATACGCGGCTGGTAAGTAACCTCTTCTAGGAACATACCAGCAACATATAAAACGGTATTTGCTTGCTCATCCTTAGCTCATGTGCCCGTGTGAGTTTTAATTTTTTTTATATTAAAGTATAGTTGAGTTACGATATTATGTCAGTTTCAGGTGTACAACATAGTGATTCAATATTTTTATAGATTAATCTCCATTTACAGTTATTATGAAATATTGGCTATGTTCTCTGTGCTGTGCAATGTATCCTTATAGCTTATTTATTTTACACATAGTAGTTTCTACCCCTTACCCCTCCATGTAAGTTTTTAAATATCTATACATTCAATGTTGAGGTTTGAGGTTTGTATCCTGTTTGGATACAGTGGAGCTTGATGGGGCCGAGAGTATTGTGTGGCACACTAGGGCTTTAATAAGGGTTTAGGCCAGAACCAAAACAGACCAAAAAAGCCTACAGAGGCTCTTGGAAGGGTTTGGTGAAGAGAAAGGGGGCCCCACCCATTTCGACAGAGGCTTCTAGGTGTTCTAAGGGCCTCTAGTGTGGACTCAGCCACATTGGTCCAGAATAATCTGCTGGGGAGCCTCAAAGCCAGTCTGCCTTGCCAAAGGCCCCTTTGGGCAAGAACTGGATTTTTTCCCTGTTCCTCCAAACCCACAGGGCAGTCTGGCCCACACATTCCCCCAGTGGCTAGCAGGTAGAATCCCCCTGTGGCAGGTGGCTGGGTGATGAACCAGTGCAGAGGGAAGCAGAAGCTATAGGAGTGGCTGGGCCCTGTCCTCAGACTCCCATATGTGGGACTGCAGAGGGATTAGCAGGCTGGATTAGAAAGCTCAGGGAAAGAAATCACCTGTGAAATCCTTCCTACTGCTTTCTGTTTTCATGACTTAAATTTGCCTCACGCATTAAGATCATAGTTTAAATCTCATAATGATAACCCTTCCTCTTTGCATAGCATTTTATAGCTTACAAGGTCTTTTCCAATAACAATTGTGTAACGTAGATATTAAGCTGGGTGAGGGCGAGTATTATGGCCTCTTGTTATAGAAGAAGAAACTGACATTCAGGGAGACACACAAATTCTAAGTGGCAGAGTTGGGAGTGGAGACTAAGCCTCAGATCCTACAACCACAGCTACACTTCACTCTCTCTGAGGATTTAGTCACTCCCTCTCCACAAATACTCATGTATAGCCTTATGATTGTTATACTTTTCTAGGTGCCTGTTATATATACATCGGTAGAAATTCCTCCCTCCCTCCCTCCCTCCCTC